ATCTGTCAACCCCAAGTTTTGTACCGGTTCCTCTAAAACAAGTGCAAAAACCTGTTTACACAAACTGCATTATTCCTAAAGCTTGCAATGAAACTCTTATTCTCTTCTGTTGGCAAGCATGTGTGAAAATGCTAGTGAAGTGTGTGCCTCATCCCCTCCTGCTGCTTGGCTGTGCAGGGAGTAAGAAATAATGTTCGTAATACTTTGTTAGCACAAATGGAAGAAGCGTGGGTGGTTCATCTAAGCTTTCCTGTTGCTCACCATGAAAAAATATAATGCCGCAGAATGGAACTTCTTATTTTTTCCCCCTCCTTTTTTTTCCAGTTTACTTTATATGCAATAGGACTCGAGAACTTTTAAATGCGTAAAAAGCTGCAAAATCAAGAATATACTTCAGGAAGCCACAAAAGAACACTTTTGTGTGTCATTTTCATTACGTCATGTTAATTATAGCATATACATATCATTGTAATAAAAAAAAATAGTTATATCTTTAACTACTTTTCCCTCTGCACCTGACAGACCTGATGCAAGACCATGAAGGGCTGTTGCATGTAAAAACTCCACTTTATTTGTGCCAGATGCTGGTGCATGGGGTGATCTCCTGGTTAAGAAATATTTTGAAGAACTGGATTCCATCCTTGCTTCTATTATGTATTTTCTGTTAGTCATTCACAAAAACTCTAAAGGAGGGTCCTCTGACTGTTCTTGATTTTCTGGTGACCTGACTTGCTTGTGTGTAAATTGTTAAAATGTTGATTTGTGTAAGAAATCCTATACAAGTCTCAGTATTCTGGAAAATCACATCACAGGTGTTTGCAGCCAAGTGGATGAAGACTTCTCACTTTAATCTTCCTGTGCCTTAGTTACTCACTGGTAAAACGAGATAAGAATAAATTTTCTGTTCGCACCAGCAGTGTGAAGATATTGTACTAAATAATTTTGACTCAGTGAGGCAGGTGATAGAAAAGTCTATCAGAAAACAGTTACTTCTTTGTGTGGGTTAGCATGGTTTGCCTGGTACTAGAACATCAGCCATTTGTTGTTGATGAGGGGAGTGAGTGCTGAACAAGCTGTACATGTGTGCTGTCAGCTCTGTACACTGGCAAAGGAAGAAGGGTACAAAAATTGCACAGGTAGCCATAAACCTGTCATTGCCTAAATTTGAGGTGTTTGACTTGGCCACTCTTGTGATATTCTTGTTGTATGGGGTTTTTTGTTTGTCATGTGGACTGTAAGCAGAGTTTTTATACAAATATTAAAAATTGATGAAAATGTTAGGTGAAGATATTAAAACATTCTAATTCTAAACAAATAGATAAAATATAGAGAAAGCTTAAGGAGAACAGTATACTATCAACATACCAACATACGATTGTTTGCTTATGGACAGTTTTTCTACCAAGAAATTAAGATGGCATTTTTACTTGCTATCTCCTTATAGGACACTTTGGCTGCAAGGTTAGGTAGAAGTGTAAACGTGACTGATGCAAGATATGTTGTTTGCATCTTTCTGTCGAAGGTCTGTGTCTGAGAGCATGTTTGTGTTAGCGGCAGAGATATGTGTGCAGTGGTTCACCAGTGAATGGGGATTGCCCTACAGAATTGTGGGAGATGAGGAAAGTAGGCAAAACAGCTTCCTCAGAGAGGAGCAGAGCAGCTTTTTTCATTGCTCCTGCATACTGAAATTATTTCTTCAGCTTTCTTTCTTTCTTTTTTTTTTCACTTCCTTTGGTTCTCTTCTCAATTTCTAATCCCTTTTTCTTTTAGAAGGAGAGACTGTAACACAGTAAGGGAGGGAGAAAGCTGATAGCATTAGTGGAGAGGAGGCAAGGATTTGGCTCACACTTTCAACATGTTGGAAGCAAAAAACCTTAGAAGTAGGTTTTTTTATTTAGGCAGATATCAATCAGCACGGCTTTGATCACATTCTTTTGTATTTTTGCTTCATGTCTAGTGGTGCTATGAGATCAAATTCTGCTCTTACAGCAAGGTAATTCGTTATTGTTGGAGCTGTTGAGTTGACACAGCAATGAGACTATATAGACACTACAAAAATATGTGGCTTGTAGTCTAGTGTACAGGTTACAAAGATTATGGTGGGTGAAGATGTCTGGTGGAGGATGATAATGTAAACTAATAGAAATATAAATTTGCTATACAGTGTTTAGAAGCATGTCACCATTATAATCCTTTATGACAGAATAATCAGAATAAAGCAGTGTTATAAGTACCAGTTAAGGAATATCAAATCAATGGGTATGTGACTCATGCTGATTTAAACGGGAGCTGATTGGGATAAATGGTTTTAATATGTACTTTTATTCTGTGACTATTCTGTCATACCTGGAGGAAGCAGCATATGAATAGTCTAAGGAAGACACTAACTTACATCTCTGATAGGAAACTAATGGGAGACATTAAATTAAAAAAAAAAAAGTCAGGGTTCTGACTGGTAAGAAATAATGTCATATTAAATGTGAATTTGCCTCACTTATCAGGTCTTCGTAAAATACATTTATCTGCCACATATTTATATAAATATCCACACACATTGATAACATTTGTATTTTATGTTGCATGAATTTTGAATCCCACTGACATCTTCTTGGATTTTGACTGTCCTAGAAAATGTATAAATTTTATATTCATTTTTGTTTTACTTAGTTCAATTTGGAGCTGAATGAAGTGCCTCTACTCCTGGAAATAATGGCAAGATTTTAAATTTCTTAGTCTTAATCTCTGCAAGAAAACTCTTGTAGATATATTGTCTAGTCCATAATTAGACTTTTTAAGGACCCACATGTGCCAGATATGTATATATCTTGCTGAAATGTTCCATCCTACTGAAGTGCCTAGAATTCCCTATACAGAGGGAAAAAGGCTTCTATTTTGTACTTCCACACAGAGCTGGATTCATTCCTGTTTTAGCTGCAGTACCATGAACACATCATGGCTAGTTAAACTTCACTGCAAAGTTATGCTGGTTTTAGTCACTCATTTTCTGCCTTTTGGTTCTTCTGGGATTCTGCATGTTAGCCAAAATAGTTTTTAACATTGTTCTTAATGTCAGCTGACCATGAGTAAAAGGATGCTGGAAGGTAGAACTTGTTTTCCAAGCATTATAGTTTTATGGTCTGGAATTGACTTCTTATAAGACCACTGGATACAAGAAATCTTAAAGAGCATTTTCTTAATCATTTTGTTTTGTTTTTTTTTCTGTTAATGCAGGTTGGATATCTGAAAGGAAATAGCATGGGGGGGCCTGGGATTGCAGGGACTATTTTCAGTTGCTTGGGAGGTTGTTTTTTATGTTCTGTTTTGCTAAATATCCCTACATTTGTAGAGGCATTTAATGTTGTGGACAGACACGTTCCCCAGGCAGACCTAATTACTTCCATTTTATGAAATAAACCTTAATTTTTCCTCCACGTGTACTGCACTGTGTTCCAAGAGTAGCTGTGTAGGAGCAAGGGGAATTACATTGGATAAGCAGGAGAATAATTTGATCTACTGTATCACTTTATCACTGTATCAACTGTATCACTTTTTGTTTGTGGTTAATGTGAAAAGCTGCTTAGTTTGTTGCTGCTGTTCTAAATGTTCTGTAATTGATGTTTTCATCTTCATACTTTGTTACCCTTTAACATTGTCATTATGGGGGGGAGGGGGAAAGAACAATAACTGTGAAGTGGACACCTGACACTTTCTTCAAGAGAGAGGGACTAGAAAGCTTCCACCTCTTAGTTGGTAGCAGTGCCTGTGGCTTCTGTGGCATTGCGTGTCTCATCACGTCCCTCCCTGGACTCAGCTGTTCATCCAAACTAGAGAAAAGGCCATGGTTGGGAATGCCTTTCTCACCCATCCAATACACAAAGCTGAGGGATATGAGGCAAATGGCAGGGGCCATTGTCCATCAGGGAGTTAGAAAATGCAGAATTTGGGAAGTAAGAGAGCCCATAAGGACTCTGTAGAGAGACCTTGTCCACAGCAGAAGCAGGGCATTGAACCCAACATCGTTGACTCAACTTGTCGTGTTCCCACTGTGATGGTCGGTAATATCCTGTCACCTTATGTGCGGGTGGCTGGGTTTGGTAGCCTGCGATGGATCTGTCCTGCGTGGGTTTTCTTTATAACACCAACCCCTTTAACACAACTACAGCTGATGTCTGTTTCCTGAAAGTCATGAGGGGACATCTCTGCTGTGTTTCATGTGTTAAAAAGTAGAGCTTGCCGCTTCAAATCCATTTTGTGCTCTGTCTAACACTCATCCATCTGCCTCCTCAATTTTTTTGTGAAATTTTAAGTGTCGTAACTTATGAAAAAAGATTCTTGTTATTCTTGGATATACCATGTTATTTCATCTTACATCTAAAGCCTAAGTTTAATCTTCACCTGTTTTTCCAGATGAAATGGTTCACCACGCTACTAACCCCTGTACACTCTCTTCCACTCCATACGTATGATCTAACATATTTTAAATACTCGGTGTGTGTGCTCAGAATAGCTGTGGCTGAATTGAAGCAAAAAAAAATTATTCCTCCTAAAAATCCTGTTAATCCAATTGGAATTAAGATAGTGTGCTGGTTATACTTGTCAGAGTGATACGTGACCTGTGAATCAAAGACTGGTGTTTTAAAGCTCATAAGCTAAGTACGTTGTGTTGAAAAAGGAGTTTTTTAACTAGCTTTGATTATATTTTATGCATAAAAATCAAAGCATATGAAGAGAAGAGAATAAAAACATAGTCTTGGAAAGGTAGCATCTATTTCCTCTGCAGGCCTTTCTAAAAGAGTTTCACTGAATCATGATGATGTTTGCTGATAAGAGAACTTCTTGCATTTTTAAAGCTTTGAAATACATTTTCGTTTTGTAATGTAAGACCTCTCATGTCAGGTGTGCCTGCTTGATATGCATGTGAATTCTGAACAATTCTTGTTTTATGTGACACTTCTGAAATGTCTGTCTGTTTTTTTTTTCTTCTTAATTCTCAAGCTCACTATTTGGATAAGATAGTGAAAGGTACTGTATATTTGCTATTTGATGACATGCCTATACCTACATGTATTTTTTTGATATGAATATATAGTTACAAACATACTGCTCTGAGCAAAAGAATCTTCTCTTACATACATTCCATGGGTTATAGTTTTAACTCATTTGACTTCCAACTCATCTCAAATTAAAAATGAAATCTTGCTTATGTGATATAATATTTTATTGGTAATTATACATTTATATGCAAACTGTATACATGTATTAGATTTTGGTTAAACCAAAAACTGAAGATAGTATTCGTTTGCTGTTTGGTGCTTTTTCTTTGTTAGTTTTGTCATTGGACCTCTACCTACAAAACTGTAAATACTTAGGAAATAAAGCAAAGCCTATACTTTTGTCACAGAACAGGTGTCATTAGTTCTAAAGAACAGACTAATTTTAGATACACGTGTATTTATATATAGACAGATCAGTAGAATACCCTAACTTTTAAGCTTTTGTTTATCTGAATGTAGAAAACCTATAGGAAATTATGACTTGTATTTCGTATGAAGCTAGAAAAAGCTTGTATACTCCATGCAACAATTTCAATTAAAAGGTTCAATGATGCAAAAACCTAGCATGAAACAGCAAAGATTTTTGTATCTTCAGTTATGGTGAAAATTTGATTCAGAAAAATGTTTAAAATATTCCTACCCCTCT